CGTATGGATATGTGAAAATCTCACGTGAAAAGTTGCAACTTCAGAACCGAAGCAGCTAGAGGGATGAAACTACCTGAGCGTGGTCTGCGGCGGCGTTTGACCAGATGGATGTGAAAAAAATTTTCACGTTTCGCCCATGTCTCACCGACGGACATGCGAAACTTGACGTAACTCCGCAGTCGAAGCAGCTGGAGTGCGGAAATTTCCTGCGCATGGCCCATAGCCGTGTTTGGGCGGTCGCGCATAAAAAGAGCTTCGACGTTTCCCCATCACGTAAGAACACGTGAAGACTGACATAATTTCGCAATCAGAGCAACTGAGGTGCCAGAGTTCCCAGGACCGTATCTGGGCAAACACACGTAAGTAAAAAATTTTGCCCCTCACGCACGAACATGTTAATTTTGGCGTAATTCCACACACAGCGTTAAATTTTTTAAAGACTGGAAGTCACTATAATAATTTCCGACGTTCGTGATAGCCAGTCTCAATTCTTTCAGCTGGAAGCATTTCCCGAGAACACTGCCGTTAGCAACAAAAACTTGCGGCAAAACTGTGGAAAAAGCGCATCCTCGGCACGGGCAGCCAGTACGCTGGCCAGTGATCTGCTTTTGCTTTCTTTAGCTTTTACTCATAGGTCCCGATCCTCTGATTTCACTTTTTTCCCATAAATTCAGGTTTTCTTTAATTCAGTTTCTTTTGTACTGCTGTGTTGTCTCTTCCTCTTTACCGCTGTCTCCAGTTCTCGTCCTAAACACGTGACTAGTACTCTTTTCCCGCCTCTCTACCCTGCCCCCAAATCCTGCCTGCAAAGCAGCATCTGAGCACCCACCAGCCATTGTCACCAATTATCGTCCTGAACTCCTAACTAGCATCCTCGTCCCCCTCCTTCCTCTATCCTGTCCCTAACCCATGCCCCCTTGAACTGCATCTGGGCTTCTACCAACCACCACCCCTAACTCCAACTTCCTTCCTCCCTCCCCTCCCCTCCGTTCACACCCACCATCCCCTAAATGCACGATGCAGCCATCGAACGCAGGATCACCGAGTGGATCGTGTAATTGGGGGTGGTGGGTGAAGCAAAATGCCAAACGGTGCTGGCGACTGACGTCGCAAAAAAGTGTTGGCAGAGAAGCTGGAGCGCTTTCAGAGCATCAGCAGAACCGAGCCAAACCGAGGTGTAGTAGCTGCCAGTCTCAGCTTTCTAGTTTTTCTGGTCACCGAGTTAACGACTCTCCCGCCAAAGTTCTCATGTGCTCGCGCGCAGGACGCAGACGTGTGTGATATTTGTCATCACGTTCTGGGGGTCGCACTTGGCAAGGGATCATGCTGGCAAAATTTCATCATCAAAGCTTGCGTGGTCACAATTTAGAAATACCCTGACAGACGAACACACACATCTATACACATAAACAGAGACAGAGTCGTCGCGTTTTTGCTGCCTGTTGCAGCGCTTT